TATATATATATATATATGTACACACACACACTCTCATACTTCTTTGCAGCCTGCATCAGTAATTTCCTTTTCTCCAGCTATTTGTGATAGAGGTTTTCTTTTACAAATGTAGCCAGCTTTCTTCTCACAGTCATAGTCTGCCCAATAGCCATCCTGTGGCAGGAAAAAGAATGAAATAACAATGAGATAACATGAATAATCTAAAAAAAAGTAGTAATTTATTTTTTTCTAATGAAAACTCTTTATTTTCTTTCTCCTTTCATTTTGAAAGAGAAATATTTTTTTGTCCTTATCCAATTCCCCTAGTTGCTAACAAAAATAAACCTACTCACAGTCAGTGAAAGAGTAGACTAGGCTGTAGCAGTACAGCTAAGGCTGGGTGATAAGAAGGGATGAGGGTGCAGGGAGCTGGTGCCGACCTGTTCTACAGGGCCCTGCGCAAACAGTTGTGCCATGCAAGGGTGGGCAAATGAGCAGGCACAAAGGAGGCATCAGGGATATCCACATGACACCATTACCACCAGAGGAAAAAGAGCAAGAGAATGCACTGCAACTACGTTCCAAAACCTGTTTTATAGCCCTAATAATTCCATTGGTGTCTTTCAGATGATCTTAAAGAGAAATTTTCAACATTGATGCAGTAATGCTTTCATTTTTTTTTCTTTTTTTTTTTTTTTTAGTGAACGGTGATATTTAACCTCATCCTTTGTCCCCACATCCGTTTTTCTGACCCTAGCCAGTTGCTGAATTAGTGGGGCACATTATTCTTTTTTTAAGAAGTTAGTTTCAATATTAATGTAAAATACATATCAAATATTGTTACCTGGCCCTTGATCAGCACACAATCTTCTGGCCTGTTGTTTGTGGTGGATGGCTCTCCCAGGTGCCATTTTGTGTATGTCACTAACGTACCATCGCTCCATTCAAAATACATTTGCACCTTATGATCATTCAGCCCAATCCTTAGCTTGTCTGTTGGCTCTAAAACATGGAAACACAGAACTAGAAAAGACCTTTTATGCCACTGCACCCTTTTCACAGCACCCTCAAGCTCTAGAACATATAATCCCTTTCATAACTTTATGAAACTTAAAACTATTTAGTGTGTTGCATGTTCATTTTATAAATTAATATTTTCACATAGATATTAGAATAAAGACAGTATGCTTTGGAAAATTAGGCTGTAATGAATCCCTGCACTGGATTAAAAATTTTGCTTCTCTTCCTTATAGCAGTGGGAGAAGAGTAAATTACCAGCCTAATGCTCATGCAGTCTGGTGGTATGATAGAACTGTGTGAATAGTTACACTTTGGTTCTGTTGCAATGGTCAGATTTTAAAATTTTTTATAACTTGAAGCTTGAATGTTTTAAGCTTTTTTCACAAAATTAAAAAAGCAGAGAAACCCCTTAAGCCCAGCCCCCCAGCCCTGGATCAATTGTTTGGGTAATTGTAAAGTCAGTTTCAGCAATATCCAAAACTTAGCAGGGGAAGGTGGTCAGCAAGCAGTCTAACTTGGAGGCTGGCCCTGCTCCAAGCTGAGGCTGGGCCAAATGAGCTCCAGGGTTCCTTGTGGCCTAAACCAGTGTATGATCCTATGGTTTTAAGCATTCTTAATGAAAGGAAAGCAAGGAAAAAGAAAGGTAAATGTAGGCAGCATTCAAGAAAAGAGGGGGAAAAAAAAAAAGAAGAGGGGGAAAAAAAAAAGAAGAGGGGAAAAAAAAAGAAGAGAGGAAAAAAATAAAAAGAAGATACAAAAGGATATTCACAATTTGTTCAGTAGTTACTCACTGGGGTATGATACCAGAATCAAAAAGTATAAAAAACCAAAAATATCTCTGTGTATGGTTGGTCACTAAGCAGACAAATTATTCCTTCTGAAGAAAAAAATTTTCTGTCTTGAATATCTTTCACTTTTTCAATAGTTAATGAAGGCTTTCACTATCTCTAAGCATAAAAAAACCCCCAATAGTTAACAAGGGCAAAAAGTAGCAACATGCCTACAGACTCCTCACGTTTATGCCAGGTTATTAAAAAGGCCATGACAAGACCACACTGACATTTTAGATCCAGTGACCAGAGTACAGCTCTTTAGGCAGCCCAGGTAATTCCACAGCTTGCTACCTGGAAACCACCTTGGCTAGCTTTTCTGATCTTTTCCATCTGTCAGAGTAGACAGCTAAACTTTTCTCTAGTAGGTTTCTTCCATCACTTCTGCAGAGACCTGTGAACTTGCTGATCTGGGTGGTGGTTGACCACAAGACACAGATGATGATTTATAGCCACGTTGTATGTTCCCCAAATGCACAGAAAGCAGTACAAATACATTGTTTTTCCATAAAAAGCACGCTTTCAAAGTGGAAGTTGTATTTCATAATCCTTTTACTAAAAAAGCTTCTAGCTGAAATGGCTGATATCCTTCTACCTTCAGGCAAAGCAAAGCACAAGACAGATAACTCTGCAAGTTGCAGCACAGAAGGCAGCACCCATTTTGAAGCAGAAAGGACAGCCCTGGACCAACCTAATGCTAGTGGACCTCTGTCTCCTTGCATGTTTTTGGCCACAGTATCTTGTGTTAATACAATCACTACATCTCAATTCAGCTAGCTGGTGCTTCTTACATGCAGACAAAGCCAAAGTTCCCCTGGAAACACTCACTGTACCCAAGCCGAGACACCATAAAGCTGTGTCCTCAAGGCTTTGGATGCTGGCCAAGTGACTCTCATCCTTCTGACAAGAAGTCAAAGCTTTTTCCCATCCTTTGGGATCCCTGAAGATCTTGTAACAATGATCTACATATGATGCCCATCTACCTGGGCAAGTAATAGACCCAATGTCACCTAGGAACAAATATCAGTGTTTGAGAGGAGTTCAAATGCCATGCCAGGGGCATCATGCTGAAAATAAACATAAATATGATGCTGAATCTGGCATTTTTTAGCTTGGAAAAGGAAAGCTTTCTAATAGAAATATTATTTAACACAAATGTTAAGGTACTTTATATAGTCAAATGTCTGTCTAAAGTATTAGTATTAACAGCTGCTGTGTTACTTAGTACTTACTTGTCAGATAAATCAGAAATTATCTGCACCTAACATAGAATGCTTATGAATTTTTAAAAGATTAAGTATATTGATAGAGAAAAAGTCATCTACACAGGTTTACAACTAGATATATACACAGGGAAACACCAACAGGGAAATCTTTATATACTTAAAATATCTTTATCTTTGCCATGTGTCAATCTTTCTTCATTTTGCTTAATTTTACTAGCATCCCTCTTCTGAAAAATAATTTTTGGTTTATTCTTCCTTTTCATGCTCAGTAGGGTGTGTATTCAAAAGAGGGATCTGACCTCCAAAACGTGGACAGACAGGACAAGTCGGATGTTCTTTGCTTTTACCTATTTCATTCTGTGTGTTGTGGGACTGAAGATCAGCCTAGAAAGGGTGCAGTGGTTGTAGAAAGCAAACCAGATAAACAAGAAATAACTTCTATTTCTAATAAAATTTTCCTGCTCATCTTTGTCAATGTGAATGCCAAGCAATTCAGGTAACAACTTCTACTTTTAATTACCAGCATGTATCAACATACCTGAGGGAACCAAGGTAAAATTTCTTTTCTTACAAATGTAACCAAGTTTCTGATCACATTCCCAATTTTGCCATTTAGCTTTTGTTTCAGGATTCAAAACCGCATAGAGTTTTCCAGATTCTGGAGAGGGGCTTCCTTTGGGAAAGATACAGAAAAAAAAAATGAACTTTCCTGAAGGGCAAATAAAGCTCTAAGATCTAAAATGCACAGAAGAAATCACTCCTGGCTGAAGCGAAAGCCCCAAAGATCACGTCTTTCCTAGCTTTGGCAAGAACTTAGGTAGCACTCTGGTAGTGGAAATGTTGGTATGAAATGTAGTATCATTTAAGTGGATGTGAGCATGTAACTCCCTCACAGTTTTGTTGCTAGAGACAAGAAATGGAAGACGGTATATCTTTTGAGAAAGACAGTATTGCTTTCAGAGCTAAAATATTTTTGCAATATATAGAAGTTTCTAGCTTGTATTGTGATAGAAAAAAAGCTTTTTCTAAAGATAAAGCAAGAAAAGCTACAATACATATCTCATGGCATATCTATCTGATAATAGAATTTAAAGCAGTATTTGAGGTACGTATATTTTTTTCTTTGGAAATACAGAATCAAAGTCACAGCTACCTGGAGCCCAGTTTAAGTAGCGGAAAGGGCTGCCTCCAATCCACTCCCATCCACTCCTCAAGTCCAGTCTGCTGAGTCCAATCCACAATGCAGAATCTGTACCTTCTGTTAACTCTAAATAGCCAAAAGCGATAGTCACTAATAATGTCTCTAGGAAGACTTACAATTCTTAAACATCTAACCACAAATATATTTAGATACTGAGATACCTGACAAATTGAAATATGCCAAAGTTTTGATTACTGTAAAAATCAAAAAACCACACCCCCCCTATTCTATCACCTGATGCAAAATGAGCACAGATGAGATGCCACAGACTATATCCAAAATGAAAATGTTTCTGTAGAATAGGTTAAACAAAACACATCTTTGTTTTGGCACAAAGATACCTCTTTCCTCTTATTTTCTTTTTTTAAAGGTTCTTTTTGACAAAAAATGAAACTTTCATTACTTTTCAGAACCTTTTCCCTCTTAAAAAAAAAGCCCAACAACAAAGTTTTAATGTAAGATAATATTTTAAAATAGAAAGTCAAGGTATTTACACTTTATCCTGTTAAACTTGCAGAATGCTGGAATGCTCTTTAACCTTGGCAGTGATTTTGATTTGAACTTCCAAATTCTAAAAGATTTTATTTACTTAACAATGCATATTTAGTTCCATAGACATTAACCAAAACCATACTAAACAGTCCCTTAGCTGTGATGATGGACTGAACAGATCCTGACCGTAAGCAATGGTTTGCTTTACTTCCTTACCTTTAAGGTATGTTTGTTCGTGAATGTCTGTGATACTCAGTAATTCTGCATTTTGCTGCTGACAGCTCCTCCTGGCTTGGTGCCACGTGAGAGCTGATTCAAAGCTTATTTGGTAGTGGGCATTTGTTAACAGATCTGTAGTCCAGGTGTTGTCTTTATCTGTAGAGAAAATAATTATTTTGGAGGTTAGAGTAACTCACCCACAGAAAACTGAGTTACAGGTTCCCGTTGTGCATGGCATTCTCATTAATTGTCACCTGCACTGTTCTTTCAAGGGCACTGAAAATATTACAACCATGTGGGGGAGGATGAAGTTAAGGCCTGTAAACTGACAGGTAGACCTGGCAAATGTTGCCTCCTGTTCCATGAAGATACATAATTCAGGAATTAATACAAGGGAAGTGATTGCTTAGAATAAGATATTGCATGGAGTGCTGTGGCAGAACTCCTAGGTGAAACCTATAAAAAGATATGCAACATCTCCTCCTTCGCTTTCTGGACAGCCATTGCCACCGAGAGCTGCGAGAACCAGCTCTATACCTGAATTTTGTGTGAAAACAGTTCTTAGATAAATCCCCTCTTTCAAAGAGCTTCTGGAAGTGCCTGTCACACAGCTTCAGAGCCTGGGCATGGCAACGGTGCTGAGCTACATTGTGCTCCTGTTCTGATTGTCTTGGCATCTTTGGTCAGTTGAAGATCTATATGCGCTCAATCAAGCACAATAGAAAATTGAAGCAGATATTTGATTATTCCCAAAAGTCAGTAGGAAGTTGAATTAAAAAAAAAGAACTGAGAGCTTGGACTGTATTTCAAAAGCTTCGAAAATTATTCATGCACCTTATGTTACATGCCTTTTGGGCTCAGTGTCATAGTATCTTTGTAGGGACCTGGAAAGCATATTTGACTATGGATTTGAACCACACCAAAAGCACATTTTGAATCAACTGGAGTAAAGAGGCATTTTAGTAATAAAAGATATATTGTCAAACAGGAGCAATGGGGAGGAATATAGCGAAAAGCTGAGAAGTGTCAGGAGGAGTCTTCAATGCCATAAATGCAAAGCTCCTCTGTCAAGAGTAAGGCCATAAAGGGAGGTGGAGAGGGAATTGGCCACAGAAATGGAAGGCAGTTTTCAGGAAGTGATAGACAATGTAGAGAAATGCCAGGGATGGGAGGCAATTGTCAGAAGGGGTGAAAAGACTGCTTCCCAGGCAATATGAATAGGTTTAATAGCATGGACTAAAGGAAACGTTCTACTTCAATAAAAAGATATTCACATGAGAATCATGCAGACTGAAATGTTAACTTCATCATTAATCTTCCTACAGCACCCATTTTTGTGCCCACAGCCATCGCAATGGGGGTCCTCAGAGAAGGGTTGTGCAACAGTGGCAACACCCATCCTGGCTGGGAAACAGCGAGGAGCTCAAAAGTATTGTGCTGCTCAGCAACACCCCCACAATTAGTGGGAACTGCATGCTGTTTTACTCTTCAATCACACTTTTCCCCACATCTTTACGCAACGTGTTATTTCCTTGCATAGAGAGCTGCAGGATGTGGCAATACATCACATACTAAAATACATTCTTGTAATCTGCATTATTATAAAGATATTCATATTCTGCTAGTGCTGGTTTGCCAATACCTCACTGAGGGGAACTGCATGGGAACAGGTAACTTACCTTTTGATGGGCAAAATCCGTATCGCTGGTCTGCGTCATAGTCTGCAGTGGTTGTGCACCAGAGCCAGCCATCGGACTGGCCAGCGCCTGTGCACTCAGCGTACCACTGCTTATTGTACATGAAAGGGAACACACAGGGTGCCCCAAAAGCATTTCCTAGCAGTGTAAAGGTCTCTGAGAAGACAAAATTATATAGTATGGAAAATAATAAATTAACGTAAGCTGCGAAAAACGTCAAGCCTGTGCTAATGGATGAATTGCATCTCAAAGTGCTTTCCGTGTGACTTGTCTCATAACCATACCTGATTTCATTTCAACACTTTTTCAGACCTAAGCTGCTGACTTGTGTTTTAGAGCAGCACTATTCTGATGTAAAGTAATATTTCACAGATGAAGTCTACAGCTAGATTTTTTCTTACCAAGATGCTTTTACAAACTTAAGGCCCCAGAACTCTACCCTAAGATGCTCCTATTTTAAAAATGTTAAAATTTATATACAATGTGCAAGAGGAGGAACTAACATTTAGAAGTCCTACTTCCTGCAAAAAGTAAACATCAGGTTAGACAGTCAGTCTCTGTTTTTATGCCAGTGACCATTTAAGTATCTCACATTCAGTGGAGCAGCTCCCGCATGCAAGGCTCATGGTTTAATACTTCATAAATCCTGTGCGGTGGCTTTTAGAACATTCATTCTGGATGTGGGAAAGCCGTTCAGAACAATCAGCTAATCACAAAAGGTAATTGCACTGGTAACTATAATTATTCCATGAGCATCCTCATCTGCTGAGTCACAAAAGCCACACTTCCTCTGCCTACATGGATACTTCCAGCCCTTCCTCGGCTCACCCATATTGTGCTTCTTTCTTGAGGATGTGATTTCATTTCTATGCTAAGAAACTTATCAGTGTTTATACTCTCTCTTAACAGTGTAGTGACACAGTATGGTGAGCAATAGTGACTTTAGAGAATACTTATACATAGTACAAGAGTAAGTAAGCATGTGTATATGTATATACTAAAATATAATATACATTTAGAGAATATACAGAGAGTATATGTAATACTGAAAATACTTTTAATACTAATATACTATAAAATGTATACTAAAATACTGTGTATATTATATAATATATAAATACATCCATATTTATAATATGTATTAATACATACTTGGCCATAAATGCAACATTAAATTCACTCCCTCAGTACACTGATTTTCTAAAAGTCTGATGGTCACAGAAGGACACAGACTAGTCAGAGCCAAAGATCTAAACCACTGTAATACTCACAAAGAAATTAGTGCAAAGAATGAAAGAATCAATTTTTTGTACCTTCATATCCCTGGGAACATAAAACATTCATGGCCCCATAGATCTTCCACTTATTCTTCGCACTCAGCCCCTTCTTTAACAAAACATTATCATGTTCTTCATTGCCAGGACTGAAGAACAAATCTTCTCCGTGGATTGCAAGGAGGCTTTCATTTCTGCATTCCCACCACTGGAGCTCACTTGTTCGATTACACGGATACAGGGTGATCACGGCCTGATCCTCCTTAAACAGCACCCCCAGGCATAGGTTCAGTCTCACACTCATAAGCTGATGATCAGTGATCCACCTGAATTTTTGTGATTCATTGTCTTGATGGCAAGTGGCAGTTCTAACTGACTGCGCAATAGACACCTGAAGACAGAGCTTGTTGACTTTATAGTATACTAAAAATGTTTCGATGTCTGTTAAACAAAACAATACATAGTAAATCATTAATATAGAATATATGCATAGTGGATATATGACATGATTCTGCTTCCCATTCACATGAACAAGGAGTCATTGTATATCAGATAAAAACATGATGTTTTTGAACAAAGTCCAGTACAACATTCATTCTACTGGTTAAGAAGCAATAAAGTAGACAATAGGATATGTATTTCATTATTATGTCACCATACTGTAGATTACTGGCAGTCAGCAGTGCTGAGCACAGCTTGTTGGACAGATTTACATCAGCGACATGAATTCCCTCAACCACACTGCTATTACCACTGCCTTGTTTCCATCTATCCTCAGGTGCATGGCCTTGTAAACCTCTGATCTCACCCTTCCAGATCTTACAGATCTCCTAGTGGGGTCACAGCCATCTTGCTAAGCCATTTGTGTCCCCATTCCCAAATTCACTTTTCCTTTCCTTTTCACTGCATAAATGTGAGTGAACACCTCTGGGCCTTACAGAGGGTACTGTGGGCTCATTGGCCTTGCTGACCTGCAAGACCCACAGTATGAGCCATTGCAATGTAAAACTAGGAATAACATTGGGAAACCAGTCACAGTCTGAGAACATAGCAAGGACTGGCTAGTAGTGGCATCTGACACCACTTGGCAATGTGGAAAGGCTGGTCGAAGTCAGAAGGTTCACCTGTACCAGAAACCGAGTCCCTAGCTCCCCAGGTAGTTTCTCTGAGCATGTCTACAGTGTTAGCTCCAACTTCTACTAAAGTAGAAGTAGATGAGCTAATTTCAGTCCTACACTGAGTTTATCAGTAGCAGCACTGAATTACATCTATGAATTTTCTCTGCTGCTTTGTGGTGTACTTTGTGACCACCTGGTTTATTTCCCTCCAAAGCTTCTGGGGTTCACAACCAATTTTGATCCCTGATACATCTCTTGATCACTGGGTGTCATATTTAATTAAAATGTATTTTAAAAACAAAAGAATTTTCATTAAAAATCTGCAAAATGTTTAACAGTTAAGTTGATAGCATACGGTACACTGAAAATAATTATTCTGGCCTGCAGTGATACAATGGGCAATCAAAAAAACCCACCACATGCTCTGAGGCAATTCATAACAGTTTTACACAGGAGTTACAAAGTAAAAGGATTTAACCTTAAGCATTCACATCTCCAGAAGCCATCTGTTTGAGACCTACAATAGAAGTGTAGCTAAAAGGATGACAGTACTGTTGTCATTGCAATTCTACAATAAAGTTGGGTTTAGGAAAGTTGTTTCACAAGAATTTTATTTCATTTACTTTATCAATGCCAGTGAATTCAGTGAGTTTGTTCAAAACAGTGCATTAAATCAATCCTCTTTATAAACACTGTCTCACTGGCTTGCACAGCCACCGTTTGTGAACAACTTAATGTCCTACAACTAATTCCACATTTCACCACTCCTGAAGTTTTTCCTGCCTGATTTTTCTAATCATTACCCAGACACCAACAGCTCAAAAATTGGGACACAGAAGAAAAGAAATAAAAAATAAACATGTAAACTTATCTCATGGTTTTCTTAGGTCTGATCTGGGGTTATTGAAATAATAGTGACACTATATATGAATAAAGCCATTAAGAATTCAGACTTTGCTTCCTTCTCTATCCATTTCTTTTTTTCTGTTAGATCCTGCGCTTGCCTGACGTTAAGAGGCAAGACATCTATATGTCCCAAAGTAATAATGTTCATATAGACACTGGCAGAGAACCATAAATCACCCAGAAATGCCAGAGGACACGGAAGCACTTTCAGACACCTTCACAGGAGCAAGCGGGAGGCACTTACCTGCCAACTGCAAAGCACTGTGAATAAGAGAAAGAACAAGCAAGAACCTGGATAACAATTGTAAATGCTGTTTTCTTTTCCTCCCTTCACCAAAAGCTGTATT